TGGCCGTCCAATTACAGTTCCTCAATTCTAAAATTTTTTAGAGCAATGTAATTTATAAAAAGTATAATATTTTATAATTTAAATAACAAAACACTTATCATAAAATAGAAGAGTATTTTTTACTATAAAGATCTCTTTAGTGTTTTGTGAAATACCTTTTTAAATTTGTAATCCGAACACTACTGTTTCATATGCACAATTTGTAGCCAAAGATGAAGAAAAAAAAAAAATAGAAGTCCCCAATTTGTACATTTAAAAAAATAATTAAAGATTTGCACTTGAGCCTTCAAGCTTAATGACATTAAATAACGTATAAGTGCATTTCTCTACTTCAAAGCAACGGTTTAAATTCGAACCTTTACAAATTTATTAAAAAAAAAAAAAAATCAATTAGAGATTTAGGAATTGGAATCACCAGAGGCCCTGGAAGCTTGTTTGAGTGGATAAAGGGGACCACCCTATTAACACTATCGCTTGGGTTTAACTTTTACATTAAATTTTTAAAAAATTAATCATTGAATGCCGAGTCTATTAATAATAGGTTGTGGTCTATTTAGTTTAATACAGTTTTAGTTGTAAAATAATTGGTCGAGAATTTTTTCAGAGGTTTTATAAAAATATATATTAGGTAACGATGAGTATGAAAAATCAAGATTTTTTTATATTCAAAATATTTATTATAATTGCACCTTGGTCTTTGAGTCTAGTGATGTAGATTATGTTTAAGCACATTTTTTTTTAAGTAATTGTTTGAATTTGACTTTTTATAAATTTGTTACAAAAAATATTTATTACAATTATTTATTTAGTAGATTTTAAGATAAAATTTACACAATGAATGATTGTAATGAACGTTTTAAAGGTATCTTAATTTTTATATTTTTGAATTAAGAAATATTTTAATGTTCAAAAATCAGAAAACAAAGTGAGTGTTGTATTATAATATGGTACCTTTTCTAGCTGCAGCATCATAGTTCCAAACCCTCCAATCAAAGCTCAACACTCCTACCTTCCTTTCTTTCCCCAAACAAAGGATTAAGCAGAATTTAGATTCATTTCTTGAAGCTTGTTAATTTGCTTTCTCCTTTTTCCGCTCTTCTATCTGAGAGTTCACACATACCCTTTTTCCTTTCTTCTCTTTTCTTTGTTGCTCATTCCTCAGGGAAAATGAAGAAATAACAGATCTTTTTCTTCTTTTGCTTCCTGCTTTCCTGTTCAGTTCAGAGTTTTTTTCCCAATTTGGTGTCTGAATTTCAGCCTTTGTGGTTTTCCTCTCCAGTCTATTGCTCAGTCTGTCAGATTCTTGTACTTTCCTAATTGGGTACGGAGGAATTGAACCTCAGCTTTAGTTCTCACATCGATCTCAGGTATAAATAAATAAGTAAAATACAGTACCAGTTTTCTGTTTGTTACCTGGGAAAATTTTACTGGCTCAGCCTTCAGATCTCAGTTGCGTTCTAGCTAGGGTTCTGACTTCGTGTCCTTCTTGTATTTTGATTGTTATTTTTGAAAGGTGGGTCTTTTCTAGATTCCTCAACGTATGGCTACACACAAAAAGCTATTCTGATTCCTTGCAAATGCTTCCTGATATAACACTGATATTTCCATTTTGATACCTCCACCTCTCTGGGTTCTTCCCCTCTTGCTCTGCTTTTCTACAATATGAAAATTTGAGGAAATTGTTGTGAAGATTGTTGAATTTTGAATCTGTTCGAATTCGTATTTGATGTAATGAAGTGGGAAATGGAAATTCTATCGCCATCATCCTATGTTTCCAGAGCGAATTGGATTATAGAAGAGAGCAAGAGCGCCAAATGGACGCCGGTGGAGAACAAGATGTTCGAGAATGCTTTGGCGGTTTATGACACGGAGACTCCCGATCGATGGCAGAAAGTGGCGGCAATGATCCCGGGGAAGACGGTCGCAGATGTGTTCAAGCAGTACCAGGCTTTGGAAGCGGATATTAGTAGCATAGAAGCCGGGTTGGTCCCTATTCCGGGATACAGCACTTCTCCGTTCACGTTGGACTGGGTGAACAGCCATGGTTATGATGGGTTTAAACAGTCCTACGTCCTCACCGGAAAGAGACCTTCATCGGGTAAGCCCCCAGAACAGGAAAGGAAGAAAGGGGTACCATGGACAGAGGACGAACATAAGTAAGTCTTCTCCATCAAGCTTATAAATCTACTCGAGATTTTATGTTATTTTATTTTTTAAGTAAAGATTCAATTTCTTGTGTTTAATTGATTTTAACTTGAGAAATATGTTTGTGCTAAATTTCTTGATTTTGTTTGGTAATTTTTCTGCAGGTTGTTTCTTATGGGTCTTAAGAAGTATGGTAAGGGGGATTGGAGAAATATTTCTCGGAATTTTGTGGTGACCAGAACACCGACTCAGGTGGCTAGTCACGCTCAGAAGTACTTCATTCGGCAGCTCTCCGGAGGGAAGGACAAGAGAAGAGCTAGCATTCACGACATAACTACTGTCAATTTCAACGACACAAGAACTCCTTCTCAGGATACCAAGAGACCCTCTTCTTCACCGGAGCTTCCTCAACCCGCAACACATTTCCAGTGGAATCAGCCTGGGAATGGAGGAACAATGGCTTTTGACTCGGCACAAGGAAATATGTTAACCTCCTCTCCATATGGGATTCATTCCTATGGACTAAAATTGCAGAGGCAGAGTATGAACAGAGGTGCTGCTCATGAATCATACTATGGACCTCAAAATCTGGTTTTTTCAAACATAACAGGTGCAGCAGAATCATCATGTATGAAATTATCATAATCTTCCATTTTCAATGGCCTGATATTGCACGAATTCACTTTTCTTCAGATCAGTCCTTTACTAATATAGCCCTGTTCTGCTTTTTGATCGCCTATGTGAATATGTTATCAGGAAATTTAGTCCATATTAGATTGAATCAATTTGGGGGAATAGGATTGTGTTTTGGTTGGAATTTCAAACCCTGGAAGTGGAAAGTGAAACTCACAGGGTAGATTCCCAATTCCCAATTCCCCATTTCCAAACAGGGATTTTTCTTGTATTTTAGATTCTGCATTTCATCCACTTGCTCTGCTTTATGTTTAGAGGTTGTCTAGAAACTTGTATGTGCATGAGATCGAAAGGGTTCCTCTAAGATAAGATTGGAATGCCGTAAAAGCTAGCAATTCTAAGATCACGCTAGAGAATGTAATGAAGCAGCGACCTAAATCAGATTTAGGAAATCTTAAAGGACTGTTTTTAAGAAGGAAGATTCTGCATGTCGACTCAAAGAAGGCTCATTAACTCTATGAGCAGATAATGTAGTATTGATATTCATCAATGGAAGATGTTTGATTTCATCTTGGAGCACTTTTCTTCCCCTTACAAGTTTTCCAGCCTAGCCTCTGCACTTCATTTGTTGAATTGAAGGCAAACAAATCTGTTCAATTTGCTGAGTCATGGAGCACTGAGTTTTGGATTTCACATAGCATCAGATTGCTTGCTTCACTGGTTAAACCCATTTAAACTATATACTATAAAACCACATGTTTTTTCGTACACCCACCGTGGCCTACTTTACTGTGATAACTGATCTTCAAGCCTTAGTAGATGCTGACTCTGAATTCCACTTCCTTAAAGCATCATATTCTATTATTCTTCATTCAATTAATTCCATTCCAAATTCTTGCCCATATTTCTTCAAGAGATCCTCTTGGAAAAGATTCTTCCCTGTGTGATGGATTATTATTTGTTTAGGAAGGAAAAAAGTGTAAAAAAGTATGATTCAGGTTAGATTACCCTATTGATTTACTTGTTTATTTATACAATCTGCACTTATTCCGCAATAAACCCACTTTTTTTTTTTTTTTTCAAAAGATAAACATAGCTATCTAAACTTTGACCTGACTGATCTGATGAGCATTTGTGAACCACTCCAACACACAACTATCATGGCAAGGCAGATCTCCATGTCTTTTGTATTTAGATTGTCAATGGTGGCAAGATTGTTGTGTGGAAAAAACAGTTATCAAGTCTTTGAAATCATTATGATTTGTTTAACATTAATAGACTAGGCAATCAGGTTTAAGAAATAATATAATACAATATTACAATAATCTATAAAATCTTAAGCTCAAAATCAGTAACCCATTAGTGGAGACAAGCTTCCTTGGCTTTTCATTAGTTAGAAAGATTTTCTTTATCAGTATGGGAATAGATGACATGGATTTCATTTATTTATTTGTTTTAAGAGAAAAACAAAATGAGAATGGGCCTTAAGTTCTCCCTTTTTGTGGAAATTTCATTGACCTCAAGTTTCCCTTATCATTCTTTGAGAAAAAGAAAGGAATCTTGTACCTAATTAAGTGCTTCTTGGAACCAATGATTTTGTGAGCTAATAAGACAAAGTCCCAAATGACAATCATGATTAAGCATAATTTAAATCTACCACATCCCATAAAGTTCAATGAAGTAGCATACACCTTTGATATTCATCAGCTATCAAGTTAGGTTTAGCCTCCTTTCTTTTTGAAACTTGAATCTTCTCATGAATCAAGTATGATAATGGACACAACCAAATGTAGCCCCTAGAATTAAATTAAGATGCCACTTAACAGTTAAAACTATATTATACTCAACACTGTCTCTCTGCTGTCATGGCTGCATACTCACAGTTCACCTACGCCGTTTCCAATTGCTGATTTAGTCATAATCTAGTCGTTCGTACTTCATAACTAATTATAAGACAACATGTGTCAACATTTCAAAGGGTAAAAACCAAATTTCCAAATTCCTAGTGCTAGCTATTCCTCTTTGTTTTGTCGTGATTGAAGACTTTGTTGTTTCTACCACCCGCATTTTCTTTTGCAGAATCAAACATCAAGGAAAATTGTAATAACCCATCACAGTATTGATGCTATCTATTTTAACCCATCAAACCTTATAATTTTAAAATACATCAATAAATATTAGAGAGTCTCACAAATGTTAGTTGTATATCAAGTCAAGAATACAGTCTACAATGGTAACACAAGCAACATGTGAAAGTTAGGATTTATAGCAATATTTTCAAATTATTTTAACTTTTAAAAAAATTCAAACCCTAACTTTCTCGAAATTTATTTAAAAGTCACCTAATAAGTTAATTTCAAAATTTCCCAACAACATATTTTCAAATTTGTGAGAGAGAGAATTGCTTAAAGGCAAGTATGCCAAACGGCACCATGGTCATTCCAAGTAGCTCTTTTGAAGGTAATGACAAAATCCAACACCTTCTTTTGCGAAAGGAATAGTCTTTCTGCAACTTGCAAGCGAAAGCACATTGATAACTTTATTCTTGCTTAACCAGTCATGACCACAGATATTATGTCATTGGTCCATGCTTTCGGCTATCTTGTTCCTACTATTTTCTGAACAATATTCTTATTCATTTCTTTCTGTGGTTCCCAGAAAAAAAAAAAAAAAAAAAAAAAAAAAAAGGAAAAAAATTTAGAAATTAAAAACCTAACTTGTGTAAGTCATGATCTAATTTGCAGCAGATAGCAAAAGGTTGAGTTGGATCTCGATGCTGCTTCACTGCCCCGCAAAGATCTGATACTGATGTCTTTGTTGGGGCTTAGGGTATGGAAAGCGGTATTAGCATCATGTCTCAGTTGTATTAATCAGTGTAAACATGCATGCATTAAAAGACCTCTCTAGTAGCACCTGCACTTGTGCACCAATTGGTTAATAGTCAGCTTTAAAAGTGCATTTCCACCAGTATGATAGTGGTTCAAATTCCCCCATCTCTTGAAATTTGTACTTGTTCAAGAAAAGATTTCTCAAGTAAAGGAAGATTAGATGACAACATAATTCCAGGCATATGAGGACAAATGAAAAACGATATACAGAAAGGACATGCCGTGATCCTCAGTATTAGTTGGAGCCTGGGGCTTGATAAGGAATCCAAGCTGTTCCTTGAGAACTCTTTACCCTTTTTTGCTGATTCAATTGTATCCTCAGCACACATGCGGTGCCCACAAAGATGAGTGCTGTCAAATTGTTTTATGCTAGACAAAACAAAAATGGGAATAGAGAGAAGGCCCCCCAAAAACTGCTAGGTTAACTGGTGAACAAGAGATTGTGGTGGAATAAAAATGTAATACGTACATAAATTACACAGCATTACAGAAGAAGTCCAAATGACTCTGGAAATTTATTCACGTACCTGCTATTGCCCTACCACAATCATTACAACAAGTTGATAACATTGGGGGCCTTGGCCATGAAATCATTTTAATCTAAAGATTTTTCCGGATTGCATGTCAATCCAAAGCCAAGGGGAAACAGAGGATCATATGAATTGTCTCCAGCGTTCATTGGCAGGTCTTCAACTCTTCTAAACCACGTCACTGGTAGCCGACCCTCAAAGTCATAATCTCCAAAAACAACATCTGTGATCCCCCTGCCTTCAGTTCCGGGCAACCATGCAGCAATTAGGGCATCTACTTTTTCCAAAATCCTGGGCTCTATAACTAAGGGTCTTCCAGATATCACGATCACCACTGTTGGCATTCTTTCAGCAACTGAACTTATAATGTCATTTCCATTGAAGGGGATTACAAGCTCTTTATTGTCCCCTAGGGTTTCTGCATATGG